AGTGACATCACAGTGTTCTACACACCAATGTGACATCACCAGTTTTTACAGATTGCATTGTAACGTTCCAGTCTGTCTCAGTCAGTCTTAGCCTACTGAACGTCTATGTGGACACAACTTCCATTTGTTAGACATGCATAGACAAACTCAAACAAACAACATGGTGGGAAAAATGCAGAAAAGCAAGAATCTCACCTTCATGCCAGTTCCCCTGACAGCAGGGGAGAAGAGAGATATTTATCGGAGGCTCAGTGAACAGGAGCCGGTGGTTTTTGTGGAGCCTTCAGCCTCCAAAAGGAAGAAAACAGATTCATCAAATCTGAGGAGCCGAACAACAGGGTTCACTCTGAATAAGTCGATCGTCTTCCTGAACTCTGCCTACCACAAAAAGCAACCAGACGCCAACGTTGCGTTCGGATTTTTATCCACCGAGAAGAGGCAGAGGACAGGCCTCAAAGAGAGCAACGCTGCCGTTTCGTTCAACTCTTCAGCCTCCTGCAATAAAGAAGCATCCACACGTCCCACCAACATCAGGAGGACGAAGAAGGTGCCCGAACAGAGGGAGTGCAAAAATACAGCTCCCTCTGAGGAACCTGAGAAGCAGCAGGTGAAACCGAAAGACCTCATCAGCTACGTTACCAACATCATCCACAGGCTGACTCCTGAAAGCTTTCAGGATTCACTAAGACAACTGAAGGACCTGAACATTGAGGCAGAGGAGAGTCTCAAGTCAGTGATCAGCATCATCTTTGAGAGGGCCTTGCTGAGACCTAACTCATCTGCCCTCTATGCCAGCTTGTGCCAGTGCATCTCAAAGGTTAGGCATGCGACTATGATGGATGCTAATTTTTCTCTTATCAACTTAACTTGCTTTTTCCCCCCAGTTTTTTTAACACTTTTTTTGCTCTTTCTGACCTTAATTATGAGTTCACAGGGAGTTTCCAGTGCTGATAAAGCAGAACACACCGATCACTTTCCAAATAGATATCACTATGTTTTCCAAAGAATGTGAGTTGAACTTGTCTTAACAAGGCTTCCTTCTGGTTTTCTCCTCTTCAGATCCAAGTGTCAAGTACAGCTGACCCAACAGCCTCTGTCAGCTTCCGAACCTCACTCATGAGACACTGCCGGGCAGAGTTTGAACGAAACCATGGAAAAAATTACATCTTTGAGAGGAGGCAGAGACGGCTGGAGACCGCCAAGGATGTAAGAATTATGTTCTTTTTGTTGAATTATCACAAAGTTTTTATAAAAACATATTTTCTAACATGAAGAGTAAAGAATAATAAAAATAATTTGTGTTGACCTTGACGAAGTGTACAGTTCAACATGTATGTTTTTTGTAACATGTCAACAGGAAGAAGAGCTCGAGCAAATGAGGAAGGAGCTGGATGAGGCCAAAGCTTCCCGTCGCTCGATCAACAACATCAGGTTCATCGGAGAGCTCTTCAAGACAAAGATCCTGAGCGCAGCTGTCATGCACAGCTGCATCACGACTTTATTAAAGAACCGAGACGAGGAGTCTCTGGAGTGCCTCTGTGAGCTCTTCAGGAAAGTCGGTAAGGACCTGGAGGTGGCCACTGCGAAGCGGGACATGGACTTGCACTTCAACCGAATGGAGACCATCGGAAAGGAAGGGAAGACATCGTCTAGGGTTTGTCTCCTACTTAAGGACACCGTGGACTTGAGAGAGAGAAACTGGTCGTCTGACTTCAGTGTGACCTGCATTATGGGTAAGGGCACTGACAACCAGCCCTCAGCCTCAGCCGCACAGACAGCTGATCCTGTAACGTCCCCAGGACAGACTGGCTGCAGAGAGCCTCAGACTGAGGATGCAGACTCAGGCTCTGCCGCTCAACCCCATCTCACTGTGGTTGAAAAGTCACAGCTCACTCTGGACAAAAAAGAGGATGGAGACAAGCAGCTACAGCATAAGAAAAAGAAGGCTGTCCCCACTGACACCATTCCTTTGAAACACTCACAGACAAAGGACGACATGGAGAACATCTCTGAGGATATCATCAATGAATACATTATTACGAATAACTTGGAAGAAGCCCTGCACCAAGTGACAGAGCAGACCAGCCCCTCTCTGCTGCATGTGTTTGTCAGGTCTGCAGTGGACTTGACATTCGAGTGCAGCAGTGACATCCGGAGGAATATGGGTCTGCTGCTGCTGGAGATGCACAAATCAGGACTCCTGCCAGCAGCCCAGATCTTCAAAGGTCTCCAGGAGATCTTGGAAGTGGCAGACTACATCGCTGAAGACTTGCCTGAAGTCTGGCTCAGCCTCGCAGAACTCATCAGCCCCATGCTGCATTGGGGAGGCGTCTCCATGTCAGAGCTCCATGGAAATATCCAGGCTCTTGTGCCTCTCCCACAGGCTAGTGTGCTGCAGGGACACATCGTCTCTCTGCTGCCCAACAACAGTGCATCTTCTACCCCCCCACCTCCCTACCCCACCCCCCCACACCCACCTGAACCCCCATTAACCCCCAGCTTCCCCAGTCACGTCCAGTGGGGAACTTGTAAAACTTGCCACTAACCCCCCCCTTTCCTCACCTCTTTCACCCCCTCCTCTCTCTATATCTCCCCCCTCCCCACCCTCTTTCCTCCCCTCTCTCCCCCCTTCCCTCCTCTCTCCCCCCTCTTCCCTCTCAGTCCCTCTCTCTTCTTCTCTCAACCCAGCCGGCCGAGGCAGACGGCCGCCCCCCATGAGTCCGGTTCTGTGTGAGTGCTTGCTCATGGTGGTAATTGTTGGGTCTATACGAAAACCTCTGTTAATCTTTGGCCTTGTATAATTAAAAAATCACTCTCATTCCATTTCATTTTCTTGTCTTTTTTTTTTGTATAAGTTTAAAAAGGAGCCCAGACAGTTCAGTTTTGAGAGTAGATAGATATCTATGATTATGTTGTAAATTTCAGTAGTAATCAGTGGATTTAATGCCAGTCAGTGAAGTATGATAGTAATCATCATGCTCAAATCATTAATACATTCAACTTTATTTACCTATCTTCTCAGCAAAATGGGTGAATTCATTTCCACCTGACAACAAACCAGCAAACCCGAGTGATTCTTCAGGTAGCTCATGAGAGCCTCAGAACAGTTGTAAGATTAAATTTTAATAACCACTCGGAGAAGTCTTTTTCAGATTCACAGCAGAAATTGGACACAGCCACAACAAAACACAACTGAATGCTTGATATAGACATGGACGTAGAAATACAGTATATGAGAAGCTGCATCAGCTCACCAGAGATGTGCTGTGTGCTGTTCAATTGGAAATTTCATTTAGTCTTCATCCTCTGCCTCGCTGCTGCCCCGAGGGTGTGCAGCTGAGCCAGCTGTGTCACCAGTTCAGTCATCCCGCCTGCATCCCAAGTCTTGGGGCTGGAAAGAAAAGTGCACTGACCACGAATAATTGGTCGAGCATGTTGTGCGCTACATTGTGTTGAAACACCTGAGCCTCAAGAGGAACGTGCTCTCTGCCCTCTCTTCTCTTGCCCTCTGCCTCTTTATTGTCAGATCAACAGTTGTTTATGAGCTTTAGCAGGTATACAGGTTATAGGTCTGCACTGGTTCCACTACTACACCTTGAATGGTGTCAGGTGTTGCTAGCATCCTTTTCCTGTTGACATTAAGCGTCCAGTGGCAGGATAATACCACAGTAGAACCATGAAGTAGAGACAAAAACAGCTCCAGGCTGCACTTTGAAAATGAAAAAACAAAATGAAGGCCACATGAACTGTATATTTCAGCTAAAAAGGGATCAAAAGAGATTGAACCATTTTTAGCACAAATGGTTATACTGAATAATATGGCGCAAGTACTAAGTACTCTTGGGGATGCTCCCCAAATGAATCCAAGCAGCATGTAACAGACTCTGCTGGGACTCCAGTAAACTTTCTTTTGGGTATACAGAGGATGCACAATGCAAGAGCTGTCACAATTATTATTAGCAACAGTGCTATGAATGATCAGCAGGGAGAAGCCATGAGCTGTTGGATCATTTGGTCCAACTAACAAACTAACTTGTTTGAATACAACTGGCAATCGAATGAGCTGCCAAACAGTGATTTTTTTTAATATAGTTAGTTTAGGTAATCACAGGGGAAGACTGTGGTATGGTTTAATGCAGAAAAACGTCACTGTGACCTCAAAACCATAATGTGGTCTCGCAACATATACTTACACACAGATCTTCTTACTACTACTACAACTTCATCACAGGAACATAAACGTATAAATAGTGAATTGAATTTGTCGGCTGAATTGGATTTTAATTCTATTTTGAGTAAGTATTATTTTATCATTTTTACTGAAAGAATCTTGTCTTGTCTATTAAAGGTGGTCAGTCTAAATTATTGGTCTGATGTGAAGCCGTTTCAGAGAAAATAAATATGTAGATCATCAGTATTTAAAGCGACTGTTGTTCTGCTGTGTAGCTATTGTTAGATTAAGAAAGCATCTTGTTGAGAAAAACAAGTGAAAATTAAATACATGTAACCCTGTGTATAATTTTTACTTTGTTGTTTAGCTTTTCCTCATCATTACTATATAATGAAACACATCATAAATGATCAGTTAAAAGGTTACATTTGTTCTTGTGTGGAATAATCCTCAACAACTTGACAATGAGTCTATGGTGAAATTGCTGAGCTGCTGTTAACATACTAATACTGAACATGGATAATGATCATCCAGTCCACAAGATATAATGCTCTGGAAAAAAAGGGCTGGTTTTCAAATAGAACAATGTATGGGAACTCTGCAATTAGACAACCTCAGCCAATTAAATCTGCTCCCTGGATCAAGCCGCTATAAGCTTTAATCTGCTGCAGGGCTTCCAGCAGCTGTCTGACATATGAAGACCGTGAGAAGTTATATTTAATTGTTAGTATTGTTCTCAGTTATCTATCTGCTGGGTGGGAGTTGGGCTTGGTAACTGAGGCGGCGACTCTCCTCCCCTAGCTGCTCGTTGAGATAAGAGCTGAAAAACCACAAATGTGACAGAAAACACCCCAGTTCATCCTCAGCTTCAAGGACTTGCACTTATTTACGATGACTGATTCAAACTCTTTGTAAGTACACCGGTCTTCTCTGTCCTCACTACAATTGACTGGATATCTGAATATCTAGATTGAACACAGGAATTATCGTCGCATGAATATGTCTTTTAGTGATAAGATGCTGACAGAGGATGATGGTGGCAGTCTAAAAAAGAGCAAAAAGAAGCAAAAGGAAGATGCCTGGAGACCAGAGGGACCCAAAGACCCATTTGCCATGGTTAGTGTCTTTGTACGAGTGTGAGTGTTAATATTCAGTGATGTAGTCATTTTGATTTGTGTGTCCGCACTCAGAAACTACTACTTAGTTGGATGTTCTTTATAGCAATGACACATGAAAAAAGTTAAAAGTGTCTTTTTTAACTGTCGGCATCTGTATTCAAATGTCAGTCGTCATCCTGTCCTTTCCCTGTGCTGTTCTGTCCTAGCTGGACTCTCTGCCAGAAAAGAAGCAGCAGGAGATCCAGAGAGCCCTCCACCTCTTCTCCTTGGGCCCAAGTCTGCCCAAGACCCTGCAGGAGGCCAAGAGACATACCTACCGCTTCTGGGAGACACAGCCTGTTCCCAGACTGGGTGAGCAGTAATTCCTCCTCCAGAAATACTAAAAAAAAAAAAAAGAAGTTTGACATTTTGGATTAGTCTTCCTTTGAGTATGACATGGCAAGTTTAGAGGAGCTAGCAGGTCAGAGCCATGCTAGCAGTTTGCTAGCAGTCTTTATGCTAAGCTAAGCTAACCGGCTGCTGGCAGAGGCCTTATATCTAACAGACAGAGATGACAGTGGTATCAACCTTAACTCTCTGCCAGATTATGAACAGGCATATTTCCCCCAAATGTAAACTTCTCCTTGAACTATTAAATGTGCTTTTCACTTTGAAGAAATATTGAAAGTCAAAACTTTTGCAAACCTTTTCTTGTGTATATTTTGAAACCTATTTTTACAACCACTTAGGGGCTACTTCTGCCATCTTATTAGCACATTCCTCCCTTTACCACCACATTACCACCAACAGCATAAATCGATATCATATCACCCTGTGTTGGTAATAATTGTCTACAAGCTTTTATGTTCAATTTCCCTGTAAGTTATGCTTTTTATATAAAATGGTAAAGAAGCCCTGAAATGCTCTGTTAGCACTGTCATATGGAAAAGTGTACATTTGAAAAAGTCATTACTCAGAGTACATACATCATTCACTATGATTAAAATGTTGAGAATCAATTTATCTGTATTGGTTTTTGATATATAAAAATCTCTTTTTCTTTATACTTATGTCCTCAGATGACAATATTACAACTCATGGCCCAATAGTAGAGGATGAGATCAGTGCCCGTAAGGAGCCCTACTCTCTGCCTGAAGGTTTTTCCTGGGATAGTCTGGACCTGAGCAGCTGTACAGTGGTAAATTAATAACTCATGTTGCAAACTTTTCTCTGCATGGAGTTCAGGAAAAATCGACTCAAATTTACTGTCAGATTCAAAGCTTTTCCATCTGTCATTTCAGCTGAAAGAACTATGCACTCTACTGAATGAGAACTACATGGAAGACGATGACAACACCATCAGATTTAACTTCACTGTGGAGTATCTGCAATGGTAAGAACACAGGTGCATTTAGTCACGTTTGATCTCTAGATTTTTGGTATTTGTATCTTTTTTTTAACCTTTTATTAACCATTTTATTCATCTAGTGGAGACTGAGCCACTGAAGGAATTAAAGCAATGAGTGTCTTTAAAGCAGAATATAATTTTCCCACTTTAGTTTCCAGTCTGACCCTCCAACATATTTTATCAGTACAAGCTTTCAACTCTAATCTCTTTGCTGCTGCATTTTTTCTCTGTGATCTGCATAAACTGTATCTCCACCTTTAGGGAACACTTACATAAAAACATAATAACATTTACTTTGAAACTAATAATTAACATTCCTGGAACTGGCACAAGTTCCTAGCCCCAGGGTTAACAGGACCTGCTCTATTCATTCAGCTTAGTCGACTCATGCTAAAATTCTTTTATTGGAATTGTGATTAATCAGAGTTTATTGAGCTACTCTTACATTTACATTCTTTTCCTGTTTAGGGCTTTACAGCCTCCTAACTGGCTGGCCCAGTGGCACTGTGCTGTACGAGTAGACACCAATAAGAAGTTAGTTGGCTTCATTGCTGCTGTTCCTGCTGATGTGCGTGTGTATGAGACGTGAGTATAGCTCATAAATATATGCATAGTTATGTCTTTATGTGAACCCCGATGAGTAATCTTAGTATTCAGAGCACTCAACAAATCTGTAGCAATTTTCCTGCAAATGTCTCAAAGCAAATGCTCAAAACGTGTTCTGCAGGCAGAAGCGGATGGTACAGGTCAAATTCCTGTGTGTTCATAAGAAGCTGCGCCTCAAGCGGATGACTCCAGTTCTGATCCGGGAGCTCACCAGACGGGTCAACCAGCAGGGCCTCCGCCAGGCTGTCTACACAGCTGGCATAGTGCTGCCCACTCCTCTCAGCTCCTGCAGGTAGTCGCTGCTGCACAGGGTTGATTCACATTTGATTTAAAGGGGAACTGGAGCCACAATTATCAGCATGTCACTATGAGCAACCGGCTTTCCACTCACATAATAAGCCAAAGTTCAAAAAAGAATGTTTTTTTTCAACATGACAGATTTCTGTTTTCACTTGTTTCAAGCAGCACTGTGCATTTGGAGAAAAGTTATATCAAACACCGCATTCAGCAACATTTTAAATCCAAGTGCCAATAATAAACATTTCCACCCAAACTTTAAATTTATTTCTTACTTATTCATGACTATTCAAAGCTATTAAAAAAAGTCTTTCATTTAAACCAAGTTTTCAGGGGCTTTAACACAATGAGGAATTAAATGAAGACAAGCTTCAAACAAATATCTAACAATGGAGGCCACAAATTCTCTTCAGATAGATATAGCTGTATATTTTTGATATTTGTCTTTTGAAGCAATGTCTACCTTCGCTGCTCCTGTCAAATAAACAGACTTATTATTTTAGATTCTGGCATCGCCCTCTGAATCCCCGAAAGCTGATGGAGGTCAGCTACCCGGGTCTCAGACAAAACATGAACCTGCAGAGAGCTGTCAAGTTCAACCGCCTGCCTGAGGTTAGTTTGTGCTGCCACCTAAAGGCAGAAACCTATTAGTGCCAGTACAGTTTGACTTAGGCCCAAAAACAATGACAAAAATATTGGACTGGGAAAAATATGGATACAAAATATCAAAAGATACAGATTTTAACCCTCAGGAATTTTTACCGCTTATCGTTTTTCATCTGTCCTGCTATTTCTTTCCTCCAAGGTGACAATGACCAAAGGTTTGCGCCCTATGACCAAAAAAGATGTTGTGGGTATACACTCACTACTCCAGACAAACAGCAGCAGGTTTCACCTCAGCCCCGTCTTGACTCTACAGGAAGTAGAGCACTGGCTGTTGCCACGGGAGAAAGTGATTGACACATATGTGGTTGAGGTCTGACTTTACACTTTTGCAAGTTACAGTGTTGATATCACCACCACCATTTTCTGAAGAAAAAACACCACATATTACGCAACAGTCGCTACAATAAGAATTCACTCACCTCTGCTCTCCGCACACAGGGTGATGACGGCACACTCACAGATGTGGTGAGCTTCTATAGCGTCTCCTGCAAGGTGCTAAATCACCCAGTGCACACTGACCTGAGAGCAGCTCATCTCCTTTACATCGCATCCTCTGCCACAGACCTGGCTGAACTCATGAAGGACACAGTGGTCCTCGCTAAATCTGTGAGTTATCTGTTTATTTTGGATTTATCTTCGTCCATGATTTGGCCTACTGACATAACGATTTTTCTTAGATAAGAAACTTTGGTTTTGTGTGCGTGTAGTGACAAAATAAATGCTCTTTTCTCTCACTGACAGAAAGCTTTCGACATCTTCTTCGCTCTGGATGTGATGGATAACAAGGATTTCCTGGAGAAGCTAAAGTTCAGCGCCAGTGACAAGAGCCTTCATTACTACCTGTACAACTGGGCGTGTCCTAATATGAGCCCAGACAAGGTACTGATTCCTACAACGTCATCATCTGTCAAGTCACAGTCATGCTATATATACAGCACAAAGTCCCGCCAGATGTAATGCCTTTTGCCAAATAACTATGAATTCAACCCTTAAAGTGGAATGAAATTCTTGGATTCAAAAAGGATGTTAGAAGACTGTAATCCTGTTTGGAAAACTAACATGCATATTAAATCATTGGTTATTTAAACACTTTTTTGAAATATATATCTGAAAATACCTTACTTACCTAACACGCCTAGGAAAAAAACATGCTTGAAAATGCTTTGAGATAGATTTTATTATGTGCCAAATTTAGAAAGGATATGGATACATGAAGAAAAGATGCTAAAATGCACCGATTTATAATGCTTTCTGTTATTTCCACACAATAAGGCTGGTGGAAGTGATCTCATTACAGCTGAAAAATCACTGATACCCGCAGCAAATTGTGACCTTTACTGAAACTGTAAACACAGACAACACAGCTGGACTACAAAGTGCAGCAGCAACATATAAACATTCGTGGAGTACAAGTTTTCAACCTCATAAATTTTGCACTCAGTGAGGATGATTATTGCATTTGATAGCTGTCAGTCATCAGTGATTCTTCCTGATGGGTGTGTGTTTTACAGGTGGGCTTAGTGTTTCCCAACTGACCTGCCGTTGAGAGACCGAGGACAGTGGGGAAGATGAAGGAAGATGAAAGGACCACGGTGATTGGCAGGGCAGTGGACATCAAACTGCATCAACAGCATGAATTAGGGTTCAAAAACAGCAAAAAACACACACAAATCTATGAAAGAAATAAAGAAATAAAGATAAAATTCCATTTTTCAATACATTCATCATGTGGCTGTCAGTTACTCACTGGGTTAAGCACTTCTGCAAAAGGAAAACATCATTTCTGACATGAAAAATTGAGTAAACAAATTCATGCAGTTCAGAAAATGCTCCATGTGTATGCAAACCCCAGTTTTTGTGTGTGTGAGACAGAGAGAGAGAGAGAGAGAGCGAGAGAGCACTAGTCTCTGGGTATTTCAACAGTCAATTCACATAACCATGAGTGACATGACACGTAATATTAGTGGGACCAATACACAAATTTTATTCGTGGACACAATCATTAATCATTCTCACACACACACTCATGTGAGAACACACTCACGCACACATGCCCATACAATCCAATGTGAGTGTGCATGCAGCAGTTACATAATGTCAGGTGCAAATGCAATCAAATTAAATCTCATCTAGACATGAAATTGATTCAAGATGTTTATGAGAGATCTGTTCCCACGGGTTTAACAAAGATACAGTATGAACCAATGAAAATGCTATATTGTAATTTATGCAAACTCCATGTCTCACGCTGTCAGAAAACATGAAAAAGAAGGAAAAAAAGTTGTTCACAGCCATTTGTTTATCATTGACTTAACCCACCTTCTTGTGTTTTAGAGAAAGCAGGCATTTTATTCTTTTTTTTTTTTCTTTGGTTTTGACCATGCAATAGCCACTGATTACTACTACCAGGCATACATATACTATACTGGAAAGACAGCGTTCAACGAAACCATGAGGTACATACATTGTCAAGATATGAACAGCAGGAGGCGCTGCAACATTAGCATGAACCTTTTCAAGCAGCAACTACAGAGGCACGGAAGGTGCAGTCATCACCTGCTTTGGTGTGGAAACACTGGCATGCTGCACAAATTAAGTTAATTTGGGGGATTTGGGGATTATTTCGAATGGAAATCTTTGTGCTCTAAATATGAACTGACTGAAAAAGCAGCGTAATAATGAGTACTAATAATGAGTACTTAACTGTTGCCCTTTGAATTGTGGTGCATTAGGAGTAAACAGGAATGGAAAGTAACTAAATATATTTATGCAACTACTGTACTACTTTACTTAAGTATTTCCATTTCCGTGTTAGTTCATATGCAAATATTGTACATTTTCCTTCACTACTTGTATTTGATAACTTCAGTTACTAGTTACGCAGATTCAGATTAATAATTCAGACAATAATCAATAAACAAATTATGATTTACTTTAATAGGTGAAGGCAAGATTAAGGTTAAGACTTGATCCCAGGGGAAATTCAGTTACAAGTTACCCAGCAGTATATACTGCCAATACAAATTCTTATTTTGAGTACTGATACAAGTGTCAACACAATCCAGACCACAGAAAAAAAGAAATAATAATGATAAAACAACATCCTGGACACATGAACACTCTTTTTAAATGCTGCAATATCTTCAGCTCTGCTGCTGATGTGCGCCTGTGCACAGTGATGACCTCTTTAGTTCAGAGAATTCACAGAATGAACATTTGTAATTTACCATTCAAGACTGTCTTCTGTTTAAACATGCATGTGATTTCGTAATTAACAGAGAATAGAAATGCCTCATGTTTGGCCTATTAATAATGCATTCACCTCATAAATCATGACATTTCTCCCCCTTACATGATAGTACATTAACTGCCTTTAACAATAAAATAACATTGTTATTGGTATATTGATATTGGTATTGATATTGACAACCCTGGCCCTGGTATTACTTGGTATTGGACTGAAACCAAATTCAAATTCAAATTCAAATTCACCAAAATCACCCATCCAATTTAGATTAGCTCCATCTTTCTCAGCTGCAACATTAAAGAAAAATAATCATCAATGCAAATTTTTTTCTAACTTTTTTCCTTGCTTTATTCCAAAGACAGAAACCGTGTTGTTGTTGGTCTGGTTGTTTCTGTTTGTGTGGGGAGAACTTGGGTAGTAATTTTTGGAAATAGGCAGTACCTTTTTTCTAATGCATCCTTCTGATGTTATTTTTCAAAATAAAAAAGAAATCTGAGTGAGTAACTTGTTTCTTGAGGTAAAGTAATACGTTTTTATACACAGTCTACAGCAAAAAAAAAAACAAGACTCCACAATCAAAGGGGGCGTTTACTAGAAGCACGTGAACGCAGCACCGCCGTGAGTTTTGGCCAATAAGAAGCGAGGAGCATTTTAAGTTTGAAGTTTCTCCAGAGCTGCAGCAACAGAAGCAGTTCGTCTCACCCCCGCTTCTGCACCCTGCCTGGGCAGGACGGAGTCCTGTCTCCCCTTAATTTCGGTGGAGGATGCGTAAAGAAAGCCTAACTATTTTCGAAAGAGGACAAGAGTCGATTTATTTACATTTCTCTTTCATTCTCGTCGACGACTCGCTCTAACCGGCGAAACTTTAAGTGCCGAGTTACTGCGACGTGCTCAGGTTAACGTTAGCATTTTCACGGACTTTCCAAAACACAGCTAGTGTGCAGTTTAAGTTTACTGTGGTTTCGTCGTATAACAGCTGTTTTACAAGGGACTCATAATAATATCTCAGTGGATTCCTCACGAGCAGACCTCCATAAACGATTGCAGGTATGTTATCTTACATTATGTTGTATGTAGCGACTACGTTGTTACAGTTGAACTCCTGTTGATTAGCACAAACGGAAAGCTACCTGTGAACCATTTTCAGTATTTGATAGGTGTACAAGGAAGTGCTCATCTGTCACAGACTTATTGTTTGGTAACAAATTGTTACATACAAGGATGTGATACGTAGTTTTGTGTCGAAACACGCCTCACACTCACACGTTCTGACACACACTCATACATACTCACTTATTGTCATTACATTAGTCAGCGTGGTTTCCTTCCTTAACCATTAGTCTAGGTCTCACAGTTGGCATACAGTAGACACTGGAAGTAACTTTTTATTTAACACTACTTAAGCCTTATGCTGTTTACTCTTGCACTTGAAAACCTCTACTTGATATTTGTGCCTTTTTGTTAAGGCTATGCCATGCATAACTGCACCCTGTGAAGATAACATTCAAAACTATTACATTTTTCTTTTCTTTTTTTTTGTTAAAGCCAGCTGTCTTTTTCCTTTCACCCACTGTGTCACTTTGGCAGACTGGTAAACAGAGAGTTGAGTGGCTTCCCTGCCCTCTTTCCACAGCCAAGATCTAACCCTGACCAGTCCCTTTGCAAACAGCTGTCAAGAGGAGTGAGCATTTAGGGCTGTGTTGTGCAAAACCACTTGTGAAAACAAAGTGATAAAATGGTTTGAAAACGCTGAAATATGCTTCAGGCTCTACTATCACTATGTACATGTACTTTTCCAACTCTGCTGTTGTGAGAAAAGATTACACTAATGTCACTGCAGACTAGATTATGAAAGTTGGCACAAAATTGTTTGGAATCAAAGTCGCGTTTATCTGTGTCAAACTAACATCGCTATGCAAATACTTGCACACTGCCTGAGTACTGTGTACACTGAGGTGGATGAGACTTGTTTGATTTCTTTTTGAAATATGGTGACTGTACTCTTTGTGAGGTGTCGCCTGTGTTTATACAGTGTGCATTTCTTTCAACAGTCATTTTCCTATGTTTTTCACTGGGCATGGCTCTCTCCACCTGCCACCAGCCTGTGAATTGCAGTGTTTCTGTACAAAATACTGAGAAATTATGTAATCTTTAGTTCATTATACAGCATATTTAAAATGTGCTGTTTAAAAATGTGTTCCACACTCTACTTTCTCCCAAAAAGTACTACAGTTAATTTTGATTTTATGCTATCAATCATTTTAAGAGTAGTTGTTGCTTTTTTACCTCAGATGTTGAATAGAATGAGATTCATTGAAGCTTCATATTTGAGGCCTATGCTTTTTTAGGCTTGCCAAATTGTAATTTTCCTACTGTAGTGGCCTGTGTCACAAAAGGCTTGCCAAGACCTTCCTCGGCCAGCTGGTGTTGAGCAAGACAATAAAAATGTATTGTATGCCTTGTTGTATGCCTTGATGAAACATGCTTAGTGTCTATTTGTCAGGAGAGCACATGTTTGTGTTACTCTGCAGCTCATTAATAACGGAGCATGCTGCTTTGTGTCACTGTTATGGAGTTGGGGAAATAACAGAAAGTTGATGGACAAAGTGCAGTCGCCACTGAGCATGTTTCCAGCCTGTGCAGAGCAGCTGGAGCAGAAGCAGGGAGTGGCTCTTGTCATGCTTCCTTTTCTCTCCCACCTACATAATTCTGCTGCTCTTTACCTGCCTTTTCTTTGGACCGTGTAAAGACCCAAAACAAAGAAGCAGACACTCCATTGTTGTTGAGCAGAAGTGAGAGTTGTATGGTTGTGGTAAGTGTTATCATCCACCTGAACGCCTCGTGTCAGTCAGTCTGGGTGTGGTGCTGTGTTGCCCTAAGCAGGGCTCTTGTTACTCAACGCTGGTGAGAGGGCTTTTGTTGAGTGGAGGAGTGTGCTGTAGATGAGGGCTCCTGCTGCAGGGACTTTTTCTGTACTGGAACGTCAACTTTTTTGTTTCTCTTTTTTTATTTTGCCTTCACAGCAAGTTCTCATGAATGCAACGGTGGATCAAGTTTCAATTCTTGGATCACTAACATAACAAGAAAACAATAGAAAGGAGTGCTAAGGTCTGAACCACAGCTTTAAACCCCTCCTGGCCTTTTCTCTAGAATGATCCTGCATTTCAGAGCAGTTGTAGCTTAAGAAGTAGTAGCTTAATTGGGAAGGTGATCCCATAGAAAGAGTTTTATCTCAGTTGAGCAAGCATCAGTATGACTCACTGTACCCTCAAAAACTGTGGGACCAAAGCCCTCTCTTGTTGCTTGGTGCATTGCAGCTCATTATTGGGAGCCGTCAAAGGACTTTCCCTCCTCTTTAAGCTTCAGAGCAGTTGATAGTCTCTCATTAGGCCTTTATTTTGTGTATTGTGCTGCTGCTTGCCAGCATGCTGC